GGCCTCGCCCGCGCGCCGCCACCGCCTCGGCCTTTACCGCTCGCCGTACTCCTCCCCTCCCCCCAGCTGGGCCGCCCCTGCCGGGGGTCCCAGGGAGGACAGGACTTCTCCGGGACCCTGGGCTCTGCGCCCTATCCTCCGCTGGCTTTCCTGTCTCTCTCCCCTCTGTCTTCGCACCTCCGGGGGGTGGTGCTGGCGGGGGCAGGCACCCGCCAGGCCGTGGGTGTCTGGGGTGGGGTGAGGGGGTGGGAGGGGTGGGGTGGAGTGGATGGTTAGGAGCGCCGGGCTCCGGCTCCAGTACGGCCGAGGCCGAGCCTCTCCCGCAGGCCGCCTAGGGGCTGGCCGCGCCTCCAGAGCCCCCGCTCTGCTCGGGCCCTGCTCGGGCGCTGCTCGGACTCATCTCCGGTCCAGCTCTCTTCCCCTAGTTGGCTTCTCCCGGGTGTGCTCATTTGGAAGCGCCCGAGCCTTGGACGCATCCATGGTTCTCGGCGCGCGGCGTAAACCGCTCCAACTACTTTGAGCCAGTCTTGTCCGAAGCCTGCAAGTTTGAGGACTCCCTTCCGGGGTGAGATGGTCGCGATAAAGCGCGGTTCCGCAGGTTATGCGCACCGCCAGGGCGCGCCTGGCGCGCGGTGCCTGCGCACTGATTTATAGGTTCGATGTTTGGGTGTGTTTCAGGTTTCTTACAATGTCCTGTTTAGAGGCATAAATTCTCTCACTGCACCGCGACTAGCTGCTTTGTCGGGGGTAGGGTGGACCCAGGAGGAGAAGGGGATCTCTCTGGAGGAGGGGGCATCTCTCTAAGTGCTGCACGTCGATACAAACTCCAGAGATGCGTTCCCCCATCCTTTTCTTCTTGCGGGGGAAAATACACTAGGTTTTCCCACGGAAGTTTTGGAATAAAAACTTTTTATAAAAAATAACAGTATCTCCCTCCTCCAACCCACTCCCCCTACGTCTTCTGGATAAAGCTTATATCGGCAGCTTCGCACTCGGCAGAGATTTTACAGTCATAGTCCTGACGTTGAGAACCGTAAAGTTCCTGGTCTGCCCATCAGAAGGTGAAGCTGGTCCTTTGTGCACCGGCCTCCGGGGAGAGACCACTTCTCCGTGCTCTCGGCGACCGGTGGAGGCGCGCTGGTGTCACTGCCTCGCTTAGAGTTCCACTTTCCCAGCCTGAATCCATCACTCCGATTGTCAGGCCTGTCACTGGGGGCATCTTTTTCCAGGACTACTGGTCCCTGACTGTCACTCTTTCATTAACGCCTTGAGATCCTATGAGAACCCAAGATGGGGATAGATGATTTCAAAGGGGTTCTTCCAACAGACAGTAACAACTATCAGAAATAACAAGTGGCAGTCACGAACCTGTAGCTCAATAAAGAAGGCAACAGGCACCACTCCCAGGCCATAGCAGTTACTCCCTGGATCCGTCTGTTTAGGGGTGCAGTATGTATAGAAATGACTCAGGCTTTCCCTACCTCAATTATCAGATTACAGTGAATGTCAAGGGATGCCGTGACTGGGTGATGTAGTCCATACCGCAGCAAGAGGGGTACAAGACAGGGGGTGGCCCCATTTATTTTACCATAGTGGTCCCTATCCCCCGCACCCTCAATCTGCTCACGCCAGCCTCTGGGTACTGTGACATCCCTGCCACTGCCAATACCAAGTTTGAAGTCCACTGCAGGGCTGCTTCAGCCGACAAGACCAGCTGGCCCTTGGGAGAAACTTCCAGAATGGAAGCAGGTGGGCCTTTGTGGGCACCTTGGAGGAGCAGGAGGAGCTGGGAAGAGAGGAGAGCTAGGAGACAGGAAAAGACGAAAGACTCCTTCTTGATCATTGTAACCAGCTCAGCTGTGAGCACCAGCCAAGAACTGCTAGGACCCAAGCAGATGTGTGTTAGGGATGATTAATGGACAATCAGCAGGGAGCAAAGGGAGGGGAGAGAGACAAAGGCATTTCAGAATTTGGGAGGAATAGAGGGGCAGGAGGCAGCAGAAAGGGAGGAGAGAATGGAGGGTGATAAAATATTTAGTCTATTTGGTCAGGAAAAGGGAGGAAGAAGGTAAGGAATGAGTGAAAGAAGGGAGAAGGGAGGAGGTGAGGACAGCATGGCCCAGCTGGAGGCTGGGGAGTTTGCCCGGGGCATCATATACTGTCCTTAAAAAACCCACTCCCTTAGCTCACAGCTAATCCCTAGGAACAGGGGGTGCCGACAACACTTAGGTGGAAACTAGGCCTGTTTCCCCTGCTCCTGGAAAGTGCTAGCAAGGGAGTAGAGGCACCCTTCCCTTTGGGGTGCTGATGAGGGCAGCAGGGCCCCTTTGGCCGGATCCATTTGATTGTCTTGGAAGGGAAAATAGAAAACCACACTTAGCCAGGCCAGAGGCCTAATTAAAAGATACTAGATGATTATTACAATCAGTACTTGACATTCACTTAGCTGAAATGCTAACCTCCACAGAATCCTAAATGGGGCCCTAGTGGCCTAAAGCAAGGGCCGTATTCAAAGGAATGGCTTGTCACCTGGGAAGGAATAAGGCTTAGTATTGGGCTGGGCCGTGTTTATTGAAGGTGATGGGATGTGGTTGAGAAGGCCATGTGAGACACAGCGGACTTTCAGCGCACAAGTCCTCCGCTTGCAGAAAAGTGGCAGACGTGTGGCTCAGGGACAGCCCTCTCTCCAGGCCCTTCCCAGAGAGCCCTGGGAGTGCGGGGTGCCGTTCCACTAGGGCTGCTTGAGAATGCCCCCTGCCAATGTGGTAGAGAATGACAACTGGGTGTGTCAGACTCGATAAGCTTCAGTTATCATTGTTTATCATCCCCACTTACAGAGTGGGGAGGTTTAGTCACTTACCCAAAGGCACGTGACTGGAGTCAGGTCTCTGGGAGCTGGGCCTCTGAACCACATGGTTGCTGTGGCCCTGGTGAGGAAACCTCCCCAAGCTTCGGTTTCCTCCTGTAGAAAACCCAAGAGTGGTCACCTCAGGGTTGGGAGGCAGAGACCAGACAATGCAAGTCCCACGTCTGGGACCTGCCACAAAAACCCAGGTAAGTGATCGTCTGTGTCTGTGGGGGATTGCTCTGGAGAACAGCCATTGCACACCTGGATCCGGAGGCCCTGAGCCCTGAGCCCCCACCAGAACACCCCAGCCGGCCTGGAATTCCACCCAAAGGAGGGTACCCCTCACCCCTCCAGCCAACTATGGCCTTAAAAAAATCGCCTCTCAGAAGCCATCAAGAAAATCCTTTAGGAAATTCTGAATATGTATAGATTTTTTTTTCACGATGTCAATTTACATAAAACTTGCTGCCCAGGGAAAAAAACGCCTGAGTCAGGTGGAGCGGAGAGGTGGCAGATTTGCTGTGTGGGGTTAATGCCGAGTTTCAGTCCTGGCTGAGGCGGAATTTGCCTGAATGATCGCCTCTCTCTGCATAACACTCAAACCCTAATGGCTACAACATGAAATAATATCTCACTGGGTAACTATTTACATTTTTTTTTTAAACAAGCTGTAAGAACTCTGAAAAGTCTGCCTCATGAAGGACTTGGTTTTCCTCCCTGGCGCTTAATATCTTTCAGCGGCTGGTAATTACTGCCTTGGCCAGGAGCCCTGATTTAGCGCAGTGTGCTCAGGGCCCTGGGAGGCCCTGCCTCCGTCCGTCCTATCACAGCCCCAGGCCTGAGAAGGCCAGAGGGGCATGAGTCAGGCAAAGCCAGCCTTACAGAGGAGCCCACTCCAGCAGCCCCTCTCCAGTGTTCTCACAACTCCGATTCTGCTCCATTATTACACCCATCCAAGGTCATCTGCCATTATTTATTTACTTCCATTCTCCCGCTGGACTGGGACTGCTTCTCTACTGTCCTCATCCTCTCTGTATTCTTATTGCCTTCCAGGGTGTTTAATGACATCCAGCCAACACCAAAAGCCAAACACTCATGTAAGCACTTTGCACGAATTATCCCGTTTGATCCTTGTGGAAGCCCAAAGAAGTAGGCCCTATTGTTACCCCGTTTCATAGAGGAGGCAGCAGAGGCACAGAGAGGTTTAGTAACCTGCCCCAAGCCTCAGCTGGTAAGAGGTAGGGGTGTGAATCCGGGCAGTCTGAATGCCCTACACGCCCCATGATAGTTTGTTGGTGAATGAAGAAGAATTTTACATATGGAGGGCTGTTTATTTCTATCTCCTGCACTGTATTAGCAAAAAGACTCATGGTGGATGACTTAGCATTTTGCATGATGTCAACCCTATGAGCCTGTTAAAGGATCTTTTCCCAAATCTGTGTTTATCATCTCACAAGATGCTGAGTTATTTTCGGCAGTTTTTTTTTTTTTATCCCTTTTGCTAGATGAAGAATGGGACTCTGAGAGCTGGGGGAGTCTAAAGTCAAGCAACCCCGCCAGCGAGGCAAGGAGAGGCCTCCCTATCTCCCTGGTTCTCCTATCCCAGCCTATTGCAGGGAGGATGGGGCCGTGATACCTTCTGATAAAAGAAGGAGGAATTAACTACTTTTCCTCCCCCTTT